GGATTTATTAGAGTGGCTTACAGGCTGTGGCCCAGCTAATCCAACAATGACTCTCACAGTGGAAAGTCAAGGATCCAGTAGTTGCCCTGCCCATGAGACTGGCTGTCTCAGCAGGTCTTCCGTGTCGGCTGGAACCCTGAGCAGTAGGCTCTAACGCCCGTGAGTCAGAAAGGAGGGCAAGCAGGCGAACAGCCAGAGTTTCTTCTTGTCCTTTACACAGGCTGCCCCAAGAAGGTGTGGCCCAGCTTAAGGGTGTGTGTGTGTGTGTGTGTGTGTGTGTGTGTTCTTGAGTGAGTGAGAGAAAGAGAGAGAGAGAGACAAAGAGAGAGAGAGTCTATGCATGCATGACATTCTGTCCATCTTCACCTTATTTTTGTTTGAGGCAGGGTCTCCACTCAACACAGAGCTTGCTGAGTTGGCTAGACTGTGTCACCAGACATTCCCAAGGCACCTCCCCCCCTTTCCACCTCCTCAGGGTACTGAATAGAGACATGCACTCCTGCCTCAGCTGTTTTGAGTGCGTGCTCGGGCCCCCTGCAGCCCCAGCATGGTGGAAGATGGATACAGGAAGGTGGCTAGGGCTTGCCGGCTGCCAGCCTAGCTCCCAAGTTCAGTGAGAGACCCTGTCTGGGAAGAACAAGACGCAGAGTGATGGAGCAGGAGGCCCAGCGTCCCTCTGTGGCCTCTGCTTGTGTGTGCACACATGAGCACACATGACACATACCAAAAAAGAAACGAAAACGGGCTGGAGGCACCTGTGACACAATGATTACTTAGCAACCATGAAAGGGTCCACTCCCATGGCCGGATAAACTAGGTGTGGTGGCGTACACCTGCCATCCAAGGACTGGGGAGGTAGAGGCAGGAGCATTTTACAAGTTGGAGTCCAGCCTAGTCTGTATAATGAATTCTAAGCCAGCCAGGGCTACATAGTGAGACATTGTTTCAAAAAGGCGCCAGAAGCACAAAACAAAGAAAGCCATAGGAAACTGCTTATCCATGGAAAAAGTAATCGTTTTCATAGCACACCCACAGCAGAGAGCAGGCATGCAGAAGGAATGACTCGCTCATTCAAGCCCCCAGGGTCTGCCGGGCTTTGCTGGCTGAAAAGGATGAGGCAGCAACACGCGGCCATTGCGGCGTCCTGAGCCAGCACAAAGGGCCTCCTTGCCAGCCGTCTCTGCTCTGATGCATAGATGCCGGCTACACCCAAGGGAGCCTTAATGGACTCCTCAGCCTGGCCTCCGCTGCACTAATGGATCCCTAATGGAGGAGACAAAGTTGCCAAATGGAGCAGGGGGGTGAGGCAGAAAGAAAGAGCTTTCGGTTTCTCTGGGGAACTAGCCACACTCAGCGTCTGGGGAACTAGCCACACTCAGCGCGTTCTTGGATTAGGTCCGGGGCAGGGTGTCATATAGCCGGGTCATACAGCTGAGGATGACCTTGAACTTTCGATTCTTTGGCCCCAAGCGCTGGGATGACAAGTATGCACCAGCATGCCTGGCTCCAATCCTTGGTTCTTAAATCCCAACTATTCCGTTTCTCTCGTGCTCTGGACACCGTAGTGCCTACTGAGGCCTGAGCCCATCCATTTGGGCACCTCATTGGCCGGCATTTGTCATTGCATTGTGAGGTTTCTTATTACTTTCCTCCTTGCTTTGACAAGCCGGTGGAAACCACTTAAGGAAGGAAGGGTTTGTTTGGGCTCGTGGCAAAGACAAAACAACAGCAAAAGGCAGGACCATCCACCATGGCGGGGAAGGCGCGTCAGCAACCGTGTGAGCCTGCTAGTCACACAGCACGTGGGGGACATTCCAGAATCGTCCTATAACTCCAGCAAAAACTGCTTTTAGCTGTAATCCCATACGTGACATGCTTAGCAGGCCTGTCTGACAGCTCCAGTATGTGGCTGAAGAGAAGGCTTATTGTAGATATGAGGGAAAAACCAGCCAGAGGCGTCTGGAAGGGTCCAGAGTGAACATGAGCATGAGAGGAGAGAGGAGAGGGGAGGGAGAGATGAGAGTTTGGGGGGGGGGAGCAGACCAAGAGAGATCTAGGAGCAGAGCCAGACAGTACCAAGAGGCTAAGGGTAGGGGCGGGGTGGGAAGGAGTCACAGGTCCTGAGCGAGAGTGTCCCAGATACCTTTGAGACCTAACCCTGACTGTGACCTAACTTAGCTGATGTCCATAGATCCTCAGTCGTGGGCCAGGGCTTCTGAACCTCTCCCACATCTTGTCAAAATGAACTCGAGCAGCTTTTGCGCGGGAAACCACAGGGTTAGGACGCAAGCTCACGCGCGCCTTGGCTCCGCCATATCCAGAAGATGCTGTTTTCAATCTGGTCCTCCCTGTCTCTGACTCTTACGCTCTTTCTGCCTCCTCTCCTACAGTGGTCCCTGACCTTTGGGGAAGGGTTATAGTACAGAGGGCCCGCTGGCAGCCAGTCACTCCACTGATGTTTATTCTCCTCACTCTGACCGGTTGGGAGTTTCTACACTAACCACCACCGGCTGCAAAAAGACATTTTTTTTCTGATAAGACCTGAGAGCTGCACTAATTTATGAGCAGAGAAAGACAGATTTAGAAGCCAGTTTTATACTACGTCCATTTAGCAGAATAATAGTAGTAGGTTACCCCTGGGGCCAGTGAACTCCTCAGCCATGGGTTCTTGACCAGGCCAACCATATCAGACATGTGTTTCTTCCAATGCTGAAGGGCAGATTAAGGAAGTCCAACAACACCCGAATAAAAGAATAACATATTTATTTGGGGGAGCATTCATATGAAGGTAAATAGCCGCAGCGGTCTTCTGAGCGCAGAGGTGCGGGATGCTCAGACCACTACCCAAGAGAGAGCGAGAGAGACCCTTCTCTTCCTTACAGGGGATCACGTCCACACACTGAAGCCACACCCTAAGGCTGGAACCCCAAACTATTGTCGGAACGATTTCCCGCCACACAGTGCAGCAGGCTTTAACTCTAAGCAGAAAGTGATCGGTTACCCCCACTGTGTTTATGCCCCCACGGGTATTTTTCTCACCTTGCTGAAGAGTCCTGTTCGTTCATTTCACAGCTGAGCAGACTGTTGCTACTCTTCCTCTCCAGCAGGCTACACCCATAGCATGTTCCAGTGCTACCAGAGCTAGCTCAGCAGGGAGGATGCTTCTAATCCATATACGTTTTCTTCATGTCTTCTGACATTCTTTTTTTAGAGATTTTTAAATTTTTTCATCTGTGTGTGTGTGTGTGTGTGTGTGTGTGTGTGTGTGACGGTGCCTGCATAAGCCAGAAGGCGGTGTTGGTAAGACCTGGAGAACTGGAGCTACCGTGAATTGTAAGCCACATGATGTGGGTTCTGGGACCTGAACTCAGGCCCCCATAGAAGAGCAAGCAGTACATGGTCTTAACCGAGGAGGCACATCTCCGGGTCTTCTTGTTTTTTTTTCCTAGTTATTCAGTTTTTGAGGTGCCATGTAGTTCAGGGCGGCCTCAGGCTCTCTATGTAGCTGAGGATGACCTTGGACTCCTTTTCCATTTAAGCTTTTTTTATTTATTTATGTATATGATTGCTTTACTTGCGTGATCTACGCATGTTCGCTATGTGCATTCCTGGTGCCAGTGGAGGTCAGAAGAGGGCATCAGATCTCCTGAAGCTGGAGTGACAGGTGGTTGTGAGCCTCCGTGTGGGACTGAGAGGCCTTGCAAGCACTCTTGATTGCTAAGCCATCTCTCCAGTCCCCGTGACCTTGAACTCTTGGGCCTCCTGCCTATGCCTCCCTAGGCTCACCAGTTGCCACATCCATTATGTCCGATTTTGGGGACAGAACAGGGCTTCCTGCGTGCTGGCCAAGCCCTCTACCAGGAGAGCCCGTCCTCAGGCACATTGGTTTGGTTTGGGTTTTTGATACTGGGTCTAACCCAGACTGGCTTTGAATTGACGGCGTAGCCTTAAACTCCTGATCCTTCTGCCTTCACCCCCCATAACTTGCTTGTTCACACACATTTATTACTTGTTTTCCTTTCTTGTCTCATGTCTCTACCCACTACTGATTTCTTCTGGATCAATTCCAGAATATAATATATGTAAATTCTTATCTCGATACCTGTTTCCATGAAACCCAAGTATCTCAGATAAGGACGAGGATCTTGGTCAACAAGTGCTTCCTTAAGGCCTAGTGAGAATAGCTGTTATTCACTGCTAGTAAGGGATGTTGAAGAAACCACAAACAGATGGAAAGATGTCCCGGGTCCAGTGTTCAAGGAACTGGTAATATTAGTGTTCATACTCTTTGTTTTTTTGCTGGTTCGTTTTCATTGCTGTTATTGTTGCTGTGCTCACGTAATTCCAGGTGGGCAAGGTGGCTGCCTAGGATTCCAAACATAGCAAGTGGATATAGGGAATCCCTGAGAAAGCCATACTGGTGAGCTCTGGGTTCTATTGAAAGATCCTGTGTGTGTGTGTGTGTGTGTGTGTGTGTGTGTGTGTGTGTGTGCGCGCGCACGCGCGCGTGCGTGCATGCGTGTGCACCCAGGTTATTTCTGCCTGTGTGTGCACATCTGGAGGAGAAAAATTTGTGTTCCTATTTAGTCTCTAAATCATCACCATCATCTTGAGACTATCTCATTTTGTAGTCTTGGAAGACTTGGAACTCACTATATAAACCAAATTGGTCTCAAATTAAAAAAGATTTGCCTGTCTCTGTCTCCTGGGTGTCAGCATTAATGGTGTATGCCACCATGCCTAGCCAGTCAAATTTTTAATTGCATTTATTTATTCTCTCTCTCTCTCTCTCTCTCTCTCTCTCTCTCTCTCTCTCTCTCTGTGTGTGTGTGTGTGTGTGTGTGTGTATGCGCATATGCATGTACCATAATTCACACACAGAGGTCAATGGTCAACTTTCACGAGTTGTTTCTTCTCTCCGCCAGGTGGGTCCCCAGGGATTAAACTCAGGTCGTCAGTCTTGGTGGCAAGTGCCTTTACCCACTGAGCCATCTTGCCAGTACTAGTGAAATCAAAACTTTATTTTAAAAATCTCCAATGGAAGCCATATTCTCCTTCTACCAGGACTATGAGCCTTCTAAAGGAACTCATCAGGCTCCGTGAGGACAAAGGAGCCAAGAGCTCAGTTCAGAGGTCCTTGGGCTACAACTCCAGCATTCTTCCGGGCTTTCAGCATAGAAATGTATCTCTGCACCCACTTGACCTGTGGCTGGACACAGAATTTCCTACCTCCTTTTGTAGTGAATCTGTAGGAGAGAGATAAGACATGAGTGTGGACACTCTTGGCTTACGGGAAGCTATGGTGAGTTAGTGTGACCAGCATTCTCCCCTGTTCAACACAACAACTACACTCTGACCCTGTCCCATCCCCTGCTGATCCTGCTTCTCCTGCCCTTCTCCCCTGGGACTCACATACTCTTGGGCCCACAGACCCCAGGAATCATGTCTCACAAGGTCTAGTTGCCAGGCAGTAATCTGTGATGTGACCCTACCTTTCCTTTCTCTATAACAGCGTTATTGAGACTTAATTCACACACTTTATGAAAGCACACATTTGACATGTAGAGCACCTGCCTAGAATCCCCCAGTGAGGGGCTGGGAGTGTGGCCCAGTGGTAGAGCACCTGCCTAGAATCCCCCACTGAGGGGCTGGGAGTGTGGCCCAGTGGTAGAGCACCTGCCTAGAATCCCCCACTGAGGGGCTGGGAGTGTGGCCCAGTGGTAGTACATTTGCCTAACATGTAGGAATCCCTAGTATCAGTTGGTCAGTGGCGGCTCGCGCCTTTAATCTCAGCACTTGGGAGGCAGAGGCAGTCGGATCTCTGTGAGTTTGAGGCCAGCCTGGTCTACAAAGCAAGTTCCAGGACAGCCTGGATGTTACACAAAGAAGCCCTGTCTCAAAAAATACAAAAAAAAAAAAGTGCTCTAGTTTCAATCCCCAGTAAGATAAATAAACAAATAAACTTAAAAGGTAAGTACCTGCTGGTTAATAGATCAGTCTATTCATAGACTAGAGAACTATCACCCAATCAATTTTAATCTTTTGTGTGTGTGTAAATGTGTGTGTGTGGGAATGTGTGTAGGTGAATGTGTGTGTGTGTGTTCTAAGAGTACTGTTGAGGACCAGGTCACTGTAAATCTCTATTTCTCGCCCCAAGGCACTTCCCAAAACTCAGGCGCCTTCCCACAGATGGCCTGGCGCCATAGAGATAACCCATCGCTTAACAATGCTTCCTTAACACCTGCGCTCCCTGGCGAGCTCTCCTGCCCATCTCATATCAAACACTGTCTCACCTGTCAGCCTCTCCAGTCTAACAACCTCCACCCCGTGGCCAATGCCGCAGTCCCCTACTTAAGCCTGTACAGAATTCTCATGAAACGCAGCTCGATCAGCCATGTTGTCCTGCTGTCCATCTCTCTCCTGTTTCTTGTGTCACTCATTCCAGGTTCCCCTGGGCTCCAACCCCGTTGTGCCCTGCTGGTCAGGGCAGAGTACAATCCAGAGCTTCATAATAGTAAATAAATGCTCTACCACTGAGTTATACCTCAGCCCTGCACAATGAATTTTAGAGGACAGAAAGGAACTACATACAAATATGCTACTTCATTTTTATACCTTTAAATTAAATTTTATTTATTTATTGTGAAGGGGGAAACACACTTGCTATAGTGCATATATGGAGGTCAGAGGACAATTTGCAGGGAGCCATCTTTCTGTCTCCATCACAGGGAACCAGGAGAGCAAACTCAAATGATTAGGTTTGGATGCCAAGAACTTTTATCTAATGAGACATCTCACCAAATTCATAATTTTGCTCTCTTTCTTTTTATTTATTTATTTTTTTTTTGGAGACAGGATTTCTCTGTGTAGATCCACCTGCCTCTGCCTCCTGAGGGCTGGGATTAAAGGTGTGTGATGTGTGATACCACCACCGGCTCTTTTTTTTTTTTAAGACAAGGTCTTACTATGTAACCTTTGTAGGCCTCAAATTCATGATCCTTCTGCCTCAGCCTCCTGAGTTCTGAAATTACAGACTTACACCAATGTAAGCCTCTTGCTTTTATACCCAGCTCTGAGAGCACGGCCTGCTCCATGGTACAAAAGTCATCATGTAACTATCTCTCCTGCAGAGAGGTCTCTAATCTAGCTTGGTGGTTGGTTTTAATTGTAAGGAAGTCTCTGTGGGGGACTATCTTAATGTATTAATGGAAGTGGGGAGACTTGCCCACAACAGTTGGCACTATTCTTTAGGAAAGGACTCTGAACTGTCTAAGAGCAGAGAAATCAAGCTGAACTCTATCGGGCATGCATTAAGTCATGTTCTATGCTCTTGAATGTGGTTACAATTATGACTAGCTGCTTAAAGATCTTGTTACCTTGTCTCCCCAGCAATGATGGATTGTATCTTAGCTTCAGCTGTCAAAGTAGACCTAGCCTGGGATCATCTGAAAAACCTCAATTAAAGAATTGTCCCAATAAGATTGGTCTGTGGTCACATCTGTAAAAAGTTGTCTTCATTGATGATGTGGGAGAGCCCAGCCAACTATGGGCGGCATTATTCCCTAGGCAGCCCCATTGTTAGGCAGGTGGGCCTGAACTATGTTAGAAAGCTGGCAGAGACCATGGACCACAGAGCAAACCCAGTGAGCAGCAGCCTTTCATGCTCTCTTCTTCCATTCCTGCCTGGAGATGTGACTTCCCTCTGTGACCGAGTGTGACTCAAAATAACCGTCTCTTCCCTAAGTTGATTTTGGCGATGACATTTATCATAGTGTCAGAAAGCCAACTAGAACAGACTGTAACCTGGAATTTCTTCCTTAAGTCGCTTTCATCAGGGTATCTTATCCCAGAGCCAAGACACAAAACTGAGCTACTCACTTCCCAGATTCCCATCCCGATGTCCAGTCTGTCACTGTGGACACCTACCCAGTCCCTGCCCAATGACGCAGTTGGAGTAGCAGGACCTAACACTCACATCACAACCTCATGGGAACACCTGCTTTTGGCGAGCTCATAGGAGTTCACCCAGTTATACGGGATCACTGAGTGGGTGACGCAGCAAAGCTTGGTTATGTCATCCCCACCTGAAAGACACAAAGGAGAATGAGCTTGAAGGAGAATGAGCTTGAAGGAGAATGAGCTTGAAGGGCTCCTTTCAGGGGAGGAGCTTCAGGGGAGAGGGGGAGAGGGTCCGGCTGTGTACGTACGTGTGGCAGCTCCAGGGCGGACACTGAGGAGAAAGGCCAGGAGAACTACGGGACTCACAGAGAAGAAGGTCTTCATGGTCCATTGACCTGGGCTCTTCATAGACGTCTTCTGAATTCCTCTTGTCTTGTCTTCTATGAGGCCGTGCAATACCTGAAGAACATCCCAGAGGATTTTGTGGTTGAAAACAAAGTAGCACTGGGGGGGGGAGAGGGGGGAGGTAGAGGAAGAGGCCAGAAAGAGCGTTGGATCCCCAGGAATTAGAGTTACAGATGGTTGTAAGTCACCCTGTATAGGTTCTGAAAAGTGAATTCAGATCTTCTAGAAGACAATAAATGCTCTTAACTGCTGAGCCAGCTTTTCAGTCCCTCACCTTGGTTTTTTGTTTTGTTTGTTGGTGTTTTGTTTTGCTTTTTGAGTCAGGGTTTCTTTGTGAAACCACACTAGCTCTTCTGGAACTCTCTTTGTAGACCAGGCTGGCCTCAAAATCACAGAGATCGGCCTGCCTTTGCCTCCCGAGTGCTGGGATTAAAGGTGTGGGCCACCATGCCTGGCTCCCTCATCTTGTTTTTTTTAGGACGAGGCATATCACCGGGGGGGCTTGAAACTGGTCAGCTAAGCTAGGCTGACTGGCCAGTGAGCCCCAGGGATGCATTAGTCTCCACCTCCCCAGTGTTGGGGTTACAAGGGCATGCCACCAAGGCTGGCGTTTTTGAAAACATGAGTTCTGGGGATCTGTCTTATGCTCTTGTGTTCTCGAGGCAAGCGTTTTACTGACTGAGCCATCACCTCAGACCCAAAGTAGCTTTTTGGAGAACAATTTGCTTCCTAAGAGAAGGAAATACAGACAACTCCCAAATGTGTCCCAAGAGGCAGAGGGACACCACAGTCTACTCATCAGGTGAATCAATACTCTCTCATTTGAAAATGAAGTGATATTCTAGAGCTAGGACCTGAATGTCCTCACAGCAGAAGTGTTTGTTCACACAGGATGCTGCACTGATGAGCAAAATGTTGTTAACATTGTTAACTCAGGACCATCTGTAACTCTATCTTCAGGAGATCCAGCATTCTCTTCTGGTCTCCACAGGCGTCTGAACCCCCAAGTACATACCACCTCCCCACACGCATGCACAGAGTTACAAATATTTAAAACACATTTAAAATAATCCTTTTTAAAAAAGCTAAGTGATATATAATGTCCCATCTCAAAATATATTTGGTAATGAACACCTGTAATCCCAGTCTTCAGGATGCTAAGACAGGAGGATCACAAGTTTGAGGCCAGTCTGAGCTACATAGATAAGACTTTATCTTTTTAAAAAATTTTAAAACATTTATTAATTAATGTATTTATTTAATATACACTGGTGTTTTGCTTGTATATACTCTGTGTGAGGATGTCAGACACCCTGGAACTGGAGTTACAGACAGTTGTGAGCTGCCATGTGGGGGCTGGGAATTGAACCCAGGTCCTCTGGAAGAGCAGCCGGTGCTATTAATCGCTGAGCCATCTCTCAAACCCAATAGACTTTATCTTAAAAAAAAAAAAGACAAAGCCCAGCAAGGGTGAAGCCTTGGATTTGGTTTCTAGGACCCAAAGCAAAGCTTTTCTCAACTTGAAGAACTCCCTCTCAGGTTCTGAGAGGGTGATGGGCTCTGGGGGAGCGGTTTAACCCAGTTAGATACATCTCAAAAATACACCCCAACCCAACCTATACATTGGTTTTCTTCATTTAGTTTTCCTTTATTTTTCTTTTGTGTGTGGGTGTTTTGTCTGCTTGTATGTCTGTGTACCACATGCATGCAGTGCCCACTGAAGCCAGAAGTTGGCAGATACCCTGGGACTGGAGTTGTGGACTAATGTGACCTGCCCTGAGCATGCTGGGAATTCTAGACAGGTCCTCTGGGGCTGAGCCCCACTCCTCAGTCTGTCACAGGGGGATTCTAGGTAAGCATTCTACCACTGAACCACACCCCTGCTTTTGGTTTAAAAATAACTTATTTATTTATGTGTGTGTATCGGGGGGGAGGAGAGGGAGAGGAAGAGGGAGAGGGAGAGAGGGAGAGGAGAGAGGGAGGAGAGGGAGCATGCTATAGAATACATGTGTGGGTCAGAGGACAACTTGCAGAGTCGGTTCTCTCCTTCCACTATGTGAGTCCTGGGACTTGAACTTGGATCGTCAGGCTTGACTACAAGCACCTTTTCCTGCTGAGCCATCTGGGCAGCCCATCCTTTGGTGCTTTTGAGACAGGATCTCATAGCCTTCCAGGACGACTTTTTAAAATGCGCTTTCCTTCCCCCACCCTCACGCTAGGGTTACATGTGTGCCACCGTTTTCCTGCGGTTCTGCCTATGACTGTCCCCCACGGTCAGTGACCCTTGTAACTCCTCTGTGAACCAGAGCTCTCCAGTGGGTGGGTCCATATCCGGGCTTCTGCTGGAGTCTACCTTCTCAGCACACGTGCACAATGCTCTGTCCAGGGCTTTGAGATTGTCCTCTTTTCTTTCGTTCTTCTCTTTGTTTGGTGCAGGGGATCCAGCCCAGAGCCTCATGCTACACCCTGAGTCTAGAGCATATCCTGATGGGACTCAGCCCTTCTGGGTCCTGCGCTGTTCCCGGCTGCCCCTCTCCTATGGTTAAATTCCCTGCTTCATACCCTCCAGGTTGCTGGCTGGGATCTGGCTGCATTTGTATGGATGTCCCAGAACCCCCCATCTGGGATGTTTCCCAAGGTCTGGTCAGCCATTTGACTTCTGCTGCCACGGATACCCTTCTAAAAATTCTTCTGTTGTCATGGTCACGACGATGGAACAAAACTGGCTTACTTGTCCAGGGTTCCTTCCTTATGTCCCTTGTGGTGTAGAGTGGTGTGTTCCCATCCCCCAAATTCATATGTTGAAGCACTAACACCTCAATGTGCCTGTGTTTAAAGATTCACTTTGCTTTTTGAGCTAGAGTCTCACTCTGTAGCCCTGGCTAGCCTGGAGTTCACTGTGCAGACCAAGTTGGCCTCAAACTCACAGAGATCTGTCCACCTCTTCTGTCTCCTGAGCACTGGGATTAAAGGTGTGCCCCACCATGTCTATTTTCATGTTTGTTTCTTATTTTAAATTATGTGTATTGTGCCTCTGAGTGTGTGCACATGAGTGCAGTTGCCTGTAATGCCAGAAAAGAGAGCCAGGTCCCGCTGGAGTTGTAGGAAGTCATATCATAAGCCTCCTGAGGTGGGTTCTGAGAACTCAGCTTGGATCCCCTGGAAGAGCAGTGGATTCTTTTATTTTTATTTATTTATTTATTTTGGTTTTTCGAGAGAGGGTCTCTCTATGGCTTTGGAGGCTGTCCTGGAACTAGCTCTTGTAGACCAGGCTTGTCTCACAGAGATCCGCCTGCCTCTGCCTCCCAAGTGTTGGGATTAAAGGAGTGTGCCACCACTGCCTGGCTGAGCAGTGGCTTCTTTTTTTTTTTTTTTTTTTTTTTTTTTTGGTTTTTCGAGGCAGGGTTTCTCTGTGGCTTTGGAGGCTGTCCTGGAACTCACTCGGTAGACCAGGCTGGTCTTGAACTCACAGTGATCCGCCTGCCTCTGCCTCCCGAGTGTTGGGATTAAAGGAGTGTGCCACCAACGCCCGGCCGAGCAGTGGCTTCTTAACCACATCTTGGGATATCAAAAAGCAAAGACAGAGAAGAGGTGTATCCCCACTATGTGTAACTCCAGTTCCAGGGATCTGATGTCTCCTTTGGCCCCTGTGGACACTGACACACACATGCACACACTCACAGACATATACATACACATAAAATAAAAATAATTAAGAAAATTTGACCACAGACCTTGTTTGTTTCTTTCAAGGTACTGCATGACTCTTCGAAGCAATTCTATGAGGGAGAATGCTATTTTGAAAATTTATTTTATTATTTTGGGCATGTGGGTGTTTTGCCTGCATATATGCCTTGTGCATTAAATGCATACAGTGTCCTCAAAGCCCAAAAGAAGACACCGGATCCCCTCTAATGGAGCTACAGATGCTTGTGAGTGGCCATGTGGATTATGGGAATTGAACCCAGGTCCTTTGCAAGAACAGCCAGTGCTCTTAACTGCTGAGCCATTGCTCCTGTCCAGGCCTGTTACTTTTTATCCTTCTTGGCTGTCTGAGAAAATGGAGATCCAGAGAGAACAACTGATTTATACAAGGTCAGAGCTAAGTCTGAATGTGTCATCTGTCTCGTTCTAAAGGGTCTCAGGGACGACCCTTTCACCCTGAGACCAAGCCTCCAACTCGATTCCCCCAGGCTGTGTCCACAATAGTCCACGGGGAAGTGAGGATACCAGCGCAACGGACAGATCACAGTCGGGTGGACAAGAAGAGAAGAGACACAGTTGAAGACCAGAACACCAAGCTTTCAAGAGCCCCGAGGGGGAAACACAAATTGAGAGACTGCAACATCCACAGCATAGAAATATACTGCCAGTTGCCTAGGAGACACGCAAATGTCTTCAACAGATCACTCCTATTCTGAGACACAATCTCCCAGGCAAACATGGCAGCCTGGCAATTCCCATGGCCTCCTGGGTATGTAAGTGTGTTCCACTGGTCTTGAGATTACTTAGGAGTCAGGGCTGTGGATGTGTTTCAGCTGGTGAAGAGTTTACCTAGTGTCTTAGATAGGGTTTCTGTTGCTGTGACGAAACACCCTAACCAAAGGCAAGCTGGGGAGGGAAGGGTTTGTTTGGCTTTCACTTCCACATCGCTGTTCGTCATCAAGGGAAGCCAGGGCAGGAACTTAGACAGGGCAGGGACCTGGAGGCAGGAGCTGATGCAGAGGCCATGGAGGGGAGCTGCTCACTGGCTTGCTCATTGTGACTTGTTCAGACTACTTTCTTGCTTTCAAAAAATTATTTATTAACTGGGTGTGGGAGCACACGCCTTTAATCCCAGCACTGGGGAGGCAGATGCAGGTGGATCTCTGTGAGTTCGAGGCCAGTGTAGTCTACAGAGTGAGTTCCAGGATATCCAGGGCTACACAGAGAAACACTGTCTCAAAAAACAAACAAAAATTTATTTGTTTTCTGCAAATTGTTGTTTTGCTTGCATGTCTGTCTATGTGAGGGTGTCAGGTCCCCTGGAACTGAAGTTACAGACAGTTGTGAGCTGCCATGTGGGTGCTGGGAATTGAACCTGGGTCCCCTGCAAGAGTATCCAATGCTCTTAACCACTGACCCATCTCTCCAGTCCTCTCAGCTTGCTTCTTTTTCAAGACAGGGCTTCTCTGTATTGTTTTGGAGGCTGTCCTGGAACTCACTCTGTAGATCAGGCTGGCCTCGAACTCACAGAGATCCTCCTGCCTCTGCCTCTTGAATGCTGGGATTAAAAATGTGTGCCACCAACGCCCAGCTTTCTTATAGAAGGCAGGACGATTACTAGCTCAGGAATGGCCCCATCCACAGTGGCATATGTACACCAATCCTAATTTTGTTTACTTATTTTAACTTTTATTATTTATTTTATTTGCCTGCATGTATGTGTACACCCATTTCTGAGGGTGCCCCCAGAGGCCAGCAAGAAGCATCTGATGCCCTAAAGCTGGAGTTAAAGATAGAGCCACCTGAACTTAGGTCCTCTGCAAGAGTATAGCATGTGTCTTTAATCCCCGAGTCATCTCTCCAGCCCCACCCCATTTTGTTATAATTTATTTTTAGTTGGCATTCAAAATGCTGGATTTCATATGACATTTTCATATGGGAATGTCATAGACTTTGCACACACACATTCACCCGGTTACCCTCGTTATCTCTTCCTGACCCCCTTCCTCTCACTAAATAGCCCAGTCCAACATCCATGACATAATCACATCTGTACTGGGTGGTTTTGTGTGTCAGCTTGATGCAAACTAGAGTCAACAGAGAAAGGAGCCTCAGTTGAGATCCAACTGGAAGGCATTTTCTCAATTAGTGATCAGCAGTGGAGAGCTCAGCCCAGCCCATGGTGGGTTGCACCACCCCTGGGCTGGTGGTCCTGGGTTCTATAAGAAAGCAGCTGAGCAAGCCAGCAAGCAGCACCTGGCCTCTGCATCAGCTCCTGCCTCCGGGTCCCTGCTTGAGCTCCTGTGCTGACTCCCTTTGTTGATGAACTGTGATGTGGAAGTGTAACCCTCATAGACCCCTTTGACTCCCCAAGTTGCTTTGGCCGTGGTGTTTCATCACCGCACCGGTCACCCTACGACATTTCATTTTCTCAAAAATGGCATCATTTCCTTATTCTTGGAAGCCAAAGGGCTGGCGACATAGCTCGGAAACTAAAGGGGCTTGCCGCCAAGCCTGACGACCCCAAGTTTGATCCCTGAGGCCTACGGAATAGGAAAGAACCAACTTCTGCAGGCTGTCCTCTGAGCTCCACATGTCACTCGAGCCGAATGAAACCCTCTATGTATACATGTATATTTAAATGATTTGCAAAATTTGATTTTACTACTTCGTGTGTGTGAGTGTTTGGGCTGCATTCATGTTCCACCATGTGCGTGCCTGGGACCTACGGAAGCCGGAAACGACACCGGATGCCCTGGAACTGTAGTGACACAAGGTTGTGAGCTGCCTCAAGTGGGCACTGGGGACGGAGCTGGGGGCCTTCTGAAGAGCAGGAGGAGCTGTTAACCTTGGAGCCATCTCTCCAGCCCCCTTCTGTTTGCCTAGTGAGAGCCACTCTAATAAGAGTGAGATGGAAACTCACTGTTTGGATTTTCAGTTCCCTGGTGGCTAAATAAAGACATTGAATTTTTTTTCATGTGTTTTCTGGCCATCTATACTTCTCCTTTTTAGAACTGACTTTCCAATTCATTTGCTCGGAACTTCTGGTTTTCTTTGTAACTATTGGAAAATGGCTTTTCTGGGTCACGCAGCTGACATAGATCAATGGCACGCACAGGAATGGCAGCTGACTCTGAGAAGGGGGTCTGGGGTGGGCGTCATCGAGTTCTGCCTTCCACTAAATCATGTCTCCTTTTTGTCTTTACTTTTACATTATTTATTTGTTGTATACGTGCGTGTGCAAATGTGTGGACACATGTATACACAGGTGCACATTCATGTCGCCACCCTAGTGCGTGTGAGTGAGTGTATGTGAGTGAGTGAGTGTGTAGGTGTGTGTTTGTGTGTGCGTGTTGCCTGCCATGAGTGTGAAGGTGCACACACGTGGACATGAATGCACACAATCTGGAGGAGTTCCTCTCTTTCTTTATCCTATTCCCTTCAGACAAGATCTGTCTCTCACTGAACTGAAGCTCACCCTTTCACCTAGAATAGCTATCTGGTCAGTTGGCCCCCTGCCTTGGCTCCAGCAGAGGCTAAGGTGCTCCCATCATGCTTGGTTTCTACCTGGATGCTGGGATTTTTTTTTTTGGGTTTTTTTCAAGACAGGGTTTCTCTGTATAGTTTTGGAGGCTGTCCTGGAATCGGCTCAGTAGACCAGGCTGGCCTCGAACTCACCGAGATCCGCCTGCCTCTGCCTCCCGAGTGCTGGGATTAAAGACGTGCGCCACCACCGCCCGGCTTGGATGCTGGGATTTTTATGTGGAATTTAGTCTCAGGTCCTGTCTTAGTCAGGGTTTCTATTGCTGTGAAGAGACACCATGGCCCACAGCCACAGCAACTCTTATAAAGGAAAACATTTAATTGGAACTGGTTTATAGTTCAGGGGTTTGATCCATTATCACCACATCGGGAAGCACAGCACACGGGCAGATGTGGTGCTGGAGAAGAGGCTGAGAGTTCTACATCTGGATCTGCAGGTCTGGCGTGAGCTTCTGAAACCTCAAAGTCCACCCCAATGACACACTTTCTCCAACAAGGCCATGCCTCCTGATAGTGCCCCTCCCTGTGAATTCACGGGGTCATTTTCATTCACACCACCACAGGCCCTCGTGCTTGGACAGCAAACAGTCTCACCACTGGGCATCTCCCCACTCCAACACCTTCTTATTTATTTTTTTAAATGCAGAGTCTCTTCTGAATCTGGAAATTGGCAGCAGATTAGGCTGCCTGGCTAGTGAATCCTAGGACCTCCCCAGTGATGGGATTAGAGGCTTGTGCTGCTGTGCTGGGATTTTTATGTGAGTTCTTGGACTGAACTCAACAAGCACTTCAACAGCTGAGCCTGCATCCAACCCTGCCTATGCCTTTCGAGTCCCTATTGTACTCCCCTGCTGTCACTCCCTGGGCCTCTGTACCCTGCTCCACGGTGAGATATCACATCTGACTTCATGAGGTTTGACTTTTGGGGAAACAGCAAAGTTAAAGGGTCTTTTTTTGCCGGGCGGTGGTGGTACACGCCTTTAATCCCAGCACTCGGGAGACAGAGGCAGGCGGATCTCTGTGAGTTCGAGGCCGGGCTGGACCGACAGCCTCCAAAACAATACAGAGAAACCCTGTCTCGTAAAACCAAAAAAATAAAAAGGGTCTCTTTTTTGGAGACGAGCAAAACTGATACTCAAAGAGGGTAAACATCACCCAGCCCAGAGCACAGACTTATCCCGGGGATGTGGAAGCAGGGGAGTCCCAAGTTCAAGGTCACTGTGGGACTGGGGCAATAGCTCAGTGGCAGAAAAGGTGTGCATGTCCAAGACCCCAGGTACAGTGTCCAGGTTCAAAAACAAATTGTGTGTCACATTAAAGGTGGACTCCGGGGAGAAGGCTTATGGGTGGAAGAGTGGGCCTGGGAGGAAGGGGAGGTATTTTATGAAACTCCCAAATGATTAGTAAAATACTATGTTGCAACAATAAAGATGGACTATAAGAAGACCTATATATGTATGTTTGTATGTAAATATGTGATCTCCCACCCCAATTTCTGACACAGAGCTTCAAGAATTACCCAAGAGATGGAGGTAAAGAGCCTCTTACACAGAGATCCTAGATTCCTTGAAAATTCTTGAGTCTTTAGTCTAACCACATGACTTTTGTTAGGCTCTTGAATGGCTTATACCCTCAGTCCTCACTGGGCGATTCTAGGCAGGTGCTTTCCCACTGAGCCACACCCCAGCCCCTCACTGGGGGATTCTAGGCAGGTGCTCTACCACTGAGCCCCACCCCAGCCCCTCACTGGGGGATTCTAGGCAGATGCTTTCCCACTGAGCCACACCCCAGCCCCTCACTGGGGGACTCTGTTCAGGTGTTCTGAGCTGCATCTCAAGCCCTTCTGATCTCTACTCCAAGATTCTCAAGGGAGCCCAAGACCTTGGCAGGATGCTCTGGGCTCTCATCCCCTCCCAGCCCTGGAATGTCACCCAGGAACCTCTCTGGAGCACTCCTCCTCTCTTCAAAGTCAATCATGTTCTGCAGACATTTGGGGACAGGGAGGGACAGCCCCCACAACAGAAGTCATTTTCCTTGGCTTATGGAGCCACAGATGTACCTGATGTATCTCACAGTAAGGAAAGCACCTGGGGGTTACTTTTCTGCACCAGTTACCGCCTTATCTTCCTTTACCAAAATGCAGGGAGAGCCCAGGGTTAAAGGCACAGCAACTTCCCTTTTTAAGATCTATTCATTATGTATACAATGTTCTGCTTGCACATATGCCTGCAGGCCACATGAGGGCGACAGATCTCATTACAGATGGCTGTGAGCCACCATGTGGTTGCTGGGACTCAACTCAGGTCCTCTGGAAGAGTAAGCCAGTGCTCTTAACTGCTGAGCCACCTCTCCAGGTGCTCATAGCAACTTCTTGTTCCCCATAGCAGCAAGGAGCAAGCCATGTCACCAAGTAGAACGGAACCCTTTCCTGGCCTTTAGAAACTTTTTTTGAGACAGGGTTTCTCTGTGTAGTCCTGGCTGTCCTAGAACTTACTCTGTAGACCAGGCTGGCCTGGAACTCAGAGATCTGCCTGCCTCCGTAGATACTTTTAAAAAATAAAACTATATATTTATTTTCCCTCTTTCTTTCTTTCTTTCTTTCTTTCTTTCTTTCTTTTTCTTTCTTTCTTTCTTTCTATGTAGCCCAGGCTGGTCTGGAACTCATGGTCCTCCTGCCTCAGCCTCCTGAGTGCTGGACTTATAGGTGTGTGCCTCATGCTTGCTGTATGTTTTCTCCCTCCCCTCCCCTCCCCTCCCTTTCCTCCCTCCTTCCTTCTCTCCTTCCTTCCTTCTTTCCCTCATTGTTTCCTTCCTTCCTCCCTGACAAAGTTCCATGCAGCACAGGTTGGCCTCAAATTCACTATGTAGCTAAGGATAGCCTTGAACTTCTTCTTTGGGGGAAGAGATTTGAGGGAAGGTTTTTTTATGTAGCCTTGGCTGTCCTGGAGCTCATGATGTAGGTCAGGCTGGCCTCGAATTCAGAGATCCTCCTGCCTCTGCCTCCTAAATTCTGGGATTAAAGGCGTGCACCACCATGCCTGGATACCCTTGAAAATTTGATCTTCTTGCTAGGATTACAGGCTTGCACCATCATGCCTGGTTTTTCGCAGTTCTATGGTTCTGTGCATACCAAGCAAGCACTCTGCCAACTGACCTACATCCATCCCTTCTTTATAAAAGCTGACAAGTTTAAAGATGCCACCATCAGGTCCTCCATTTCAGTTGAGTTTTTATTTGCTCAAAGTTCTGAGGCAGGACCAGCCTGGATCCAGTATCCCCAACATGCCTGGGAATTATTACTGCTGACAGAGCTTCACCCACCGGTGGACAGACAACCCACCCTCAGGCCCCAACCCAAGGCAAGGACCCCATCCAAGCCAGCGGCCAACAAAGTACACCTGCAGGTACTCGAGTCTTATGCACCTGGGTTCTGATGACGTCTTCGAGCCACACAAGAGGAGATCACAGAATGGCTAATGCCATTCTTCTAGATCCTTCTTACTCAGCACAGGAAACGCCAGAGCTCTGGCATGCTTGGGGCTCCCTCGGGTTATCACAGAATAAATACATTCCCTAAAAGAAATGCTGAGAATGGCAAAATGAACTCGGGGCTCATCCTAGCTGGTGTGCCAAGCCCAAAGCAGCCTGTCAAGCAGTCAAGACCAATGTCCAAGTTCAGGGACAGAGGAGAGGCCATTAAATCTCGGTGCTGTTGGCACGGTGTCTCTGGATGGAAAACTTGATGCCCAGTGCCTTGGCACCTGCAGAAGGCTGCTTTCTTCTCTTGGCATCCAGGTTCCGAATGTGCTTCTGGACCCACGGCAACTTGGGGTCTCCACAGAACTTATGGCCCCCCTTGGTGATGAAGCTGTGGGGGGAAAGGGCAAGAGTTTAGTCTGAGGTCTGGCGAGGTGCTGGGACTGACCCATCCTCCCTTCATGAGGAAGTGAGTGTGGGGGACCAGGAGTCTCAGCTGCCCGTCCCCGGTGCTAGGAAGCTTTCTCTCTGTGCATTCTGGGTTTTTGCCATGGAGTCGGGGGTCTGGAGGACCGTGGATCGTGGGATGCCACGCCCATTCTGTGGCCTCCCTTTAAGACAGAGGAGGACCTGCTTTTGAGTTATGCTGTGTGTGGCAGAAGATGTGGTCTCTATCTGGATCAAGGAAACTGAGCCAAGAAGACAGCTCAGTTGGTAAAAAGTCTGTCTTGCAGCTGTGAAAATCCAAGTTCAACCCTCAGCCTCAATTAAGAAAAAAAAATCTAGGCGCAGTAGTGTGTGCTTGTAATCCCAGCACTGGGGAGGCAGAGACAGGCGGGGCTTGCCAGCCAGCTAGTCTCCACTACTTGGCGAGTTCCAGGCAGCTGAGAGAGCCAGAGAGATGGGCTCAGCAGGTAAAAACGCCTGCTGCCAAGCCTGATGACCTGAGCTCCGTCCCTAGGACCCACAGGGTAGAATGAGAAAACTGGCTTCCACAAGTTGTCCTCGGACCCCCACACATGTGCTGTGGCATCTGTGCATGTGTGTAAACATTCACACCTGCGCTCACACGTGCACACGCACATGCACACACAAATCTTAAAGTGTATTTTTTTAAAAAAGACTCTCATATTGAGGATCACACCCAAGATTGGCCTCTGGCCCCTGTAGGCATGCACACACACACATGTACATGCACACACATATGTGCATCTACACATATAAGCATTCTTAAAGGCAAATGTTACCAGCTCACACTATGAATGGAAACATGGCTCCTGGGCATGCTGAGAGGGAAGCCTGGGACGACCCCTTCCATTCCTGCTCTCAGAACCAATCGATGCCAGCGGGGGAATATAGTAACACGCCACTCCCACTATGCATCATTGCTTGAGACATGAGGTCATGCTTGTTACCCCAGATGAAGAGGTGGCTCTGAAACTATTTGGAATCTAGAAGTCTGGTTGGTCATGACCTCTTCTTTCAGTAAAAGGGAGATTGTTTTTGTTTTTACCATTCTGGGCTTTGTGCATGCCAGGAAAGCACTCTACCACTGAGCCACACCCCAGCCCCTCACTGGGGGATTCTAGGCAGGGGCTCTACCACTGAGTCACTCCCCAGCCCCTCACTGGGGGATTCTAGGCAGGTGCTGTACCACTGAGCCACACCCCAGCCCCTCACTGGGGAGATTCTAGGCAGGGTTTCAATATTGCCTCGTGGAATTGTTAAGATTAGTTAGGATAATGTCACAGGATGTATTTCCCTCCATGCACAATGCCTTGCCTGCATTTCGTACTTCGTTTATGTTCTAGGCCTTCTGAGTGTTGGAATTACTGGCAACTACCATCTTGCTCTGGTTGTTACAAAAAAAAAAAGCTGGGGATTGAATACCAACTGGCCTACCTCCCCCTCCCTGCCTCAGTTTCTTCCTAGTTTTATGGGTAAGGAAGCTGAAGTCCAGAGAGGTCTAGTCTGCTTTCAAAGATGCCCAGGGCTGAACTTCCTCAGGGACCCTGGAGGTTCCTGGGATAGATACTCACATCACTCCGGCCTTGGGGCAGATGCTGCCATTGGCCAACTGGTAGCTAGCCACTCGGTTTCCTGGAATTTCCTTGGTAATAAAGGACATGCAGCAAGAAAACGGGATGGTCACAGAGTCTAGAAGGACAAAGAAAAGATCTGTGTCAGCGTTCAGCCTGCCATGGCTCTTTCTTAACTGCAGTTATACTCCAGGCCGCTTGGTGCCTTCCCCAGCCCCAGGCTGCTCGGTTCCCTCACCCTCCATTGTGTCCATACCGCTGGAAGCTGGTGCTACCGGCAGCCCCTGGCGGGGCCCAGAAGTCTCACCTGTAGGGTAGACCCGGCACGTGCAAACCACCAGGAGTAGAAGGCTGGCTACAATGGTGGCTGGACTTGCCATGTCTTGGAGATTAGAGGCCTCGGCTCAGAGGTCAAAGCTGGGGTGCAGAAAAGATGCCCTGGAGATATGAGGACACCCCAACCTCCCTCCAACTGGCCTTTATATGACCAGCTCAGGAGATACACACACTGGAGTCCCTCCCTCCCTCTCCTCCACAGGCTTCCTCGAAAATCTTGAGCATTCTGTGGTCTAAAAAAAGGGGAAGTGTTGTCCATGTCTTGTCCAGCTGAGTCAGGAATGATCTGGGGCTAGCTGAGGAAGGGTTGCCATCCTGTCTGGGCCACGGCCAAGGGAAAATGTTCCAGATGACTTGGTTCTGCTTATCATGTGGGATCCTGGGGAAGTTACTTGATTCTCTGAGCCTCTGTTTTTGTAGATGAACAATGAGTAGAGTCACCCTATCTGCCTTCCTTCCATCTGTCCATCCATCCATCAATCTACCTGTCCATTCATTGACCTACCTGTCCATCCATCTATCCATCAGTCTATCTATCTATCCATCCATTGATCTACCTATCCATCTATCTGTCCACCCATCAACTGATCTATCTGTCCATCCATCAACTGATCTATCTGTCTATCAAACCATTTATCTATCTACCTGTCCATCCATCCATTGATCCATCTGTCCATCCATCTGTCCATCCATCCATTGATCTATCTGTTCATCCATCTGTCCATCCATCCATTGATCTATCTGTCCATCCATCTGTCCATTCATCCATTGTTCTACCTGTCCATCCATCTGTCCATTTAAAGGAAACTTAGAGGAGCAAAACGCAGGCTCCCTGAGATGATGCTTTGTTCCCAGAAGGCATTGGGAGGATAAATGGTGGGAAGACACAGGGGTGAGTATCTGAACAGAACCAATGGAGGCAAGAGGAGGACCCTGCAACCCTATAAAATACCCAAGCCAGCATTCATTTAAGGACTTTGAACCTTAGGGCCCCTCGCACCCTGAAGGGATAAAGTGGCTACTTTTTTCTCTATGGCTTGATTTTTCTGTCTTTCCCAAAATTTTCATTTTGTTCATGTGGGTAAACAAACTTGGGGATCCTCTAGATAACTACTAGTACCCCTATTATACCTCCATCTGTCCCCCATACATATATTTATCCATGCACACACCCACCACCCACCCATTCATCCCACCCATCCATTCACCCCACCCCATCCATCCATTCAGCCACTGTTCCACCCATCCATGTATTCATTCACCTATTCACGTGTTCATCCATCAAATATTTTTCAGTTGTTTTCAAGACAGGCTTTCTCTTTTGGGGGAGTGGCTTGCATGAGAGTTTCTCTGTGGTTTTTGGAGGCTGTCCTGGAACTTGCTCTTATAGACCAGGCTGGTCTCGAACTCACAGAGATCTGCCTCTGCCTCCCGAGTGCTGGGATTAAAGGTGTGCAACACCACTTCCCGGCTCAAGACAGGGTTTCTCTATTCATCAAACTTGTATTAGACATGTGTGGATGAGTCTACAGAGATAAATGCTCCATTTCTGTAAGCAGGGAGGCCCTGCAGGTGCCAGACAGGGAAGCAAACTGAGTGAAGAGAGGAGAATGAGAACCCAGTGCATTTGTCAACCTGGATCAAAATCTGGGGAGTCTAATGCCCCGTGGTTCATTGTCAATGTATTTAAAACGCAGCACAGTTGGGGAAAGGTTTCCAAGCAACAATCAGTCTAATTCCAGGTGCACAATAAAGCTTAAGGTATATCTATATAGAGACAGACTCTTTACAAAGTATATGTGACCATGAGGGTGGGTTCTGTAGTTAAAAGACCTAGACTCTAGTGTGGTCTCAGACCACCAGCATAGAGGTCAGCAGGACATAAGGTACATGTGCCATCTCCCCTAAGGATAGGTAAAGGTCTAGGGAGTGGAGAGTCTGGGATAATCATTCTGGGGGTTTGGGTGAGATCTGCATCCACAGCAAAAAGATCACCAGGTCATTAATGAATTCCACTCCCAGCTTTCTGGATGGAATGCAGGTATTCAGTTTTTACCTCTTTCGAGGAAGCACCCCTGTGTGATTAATATTCCTGGTTCTCTTAGTGCTTCTCTGACAGTACAAGGAACTCAGTGCCCCCAATTGCCCATCAAGTCCCCAGTCCTGTGCCCAGCATTTTTAGAAACACCCATTTTGCACTGTGTGTGTGTGTGTGTGTGTGTGTGTGTGTGTTGCGTGTAGGTGGCCTGGGTTGCCACTAGATGGCATCAGACCCCCTAGGAACTAGAGTTATAACTGAAAATGGAGTCATCAAAGAAGTGGAAACTGAACTCAGGGTCTCTGGAAGAGCCGCAAGTCCTGTTACATGTTGAGCCATTTCCAGCCTAAGCTTTAAAATAATATTATTATTATTACACTTAGTTAATAATTTAGTTAGGTTTAGGTGTGGTATGTGTCTGTCTGTCTCTTTCTCTTTTTTTTTTTTTTTTTTTTTTTTTTTTTCGAGACAGGGTTTCTCTGTATTGTTTTGGAGCCTGTCCTGGAACTTGCTCTGTAGACCAGGCTTGGTCTCGAACTCACAGAGATCCACCTGCCTCTGCCTCCCGAGTGCTGGGATTAAAGGCGTGTGCCTCTACCGCCCGGTGTCTGTCTGTCTCTTAAAGCATTTATTTTCCTTCTTTTGGATAGGAAAAATGATTTACTGAGTACACTACAAGAGATGAGTGAGCAGGGAGGTAACTAGGGTGCCTATGATCTACTTTGATTGTTACCTTTCTGTCTCTGTACACCATGTGGTGTGTGTGTGTGTGTGTGTGTGTGTGTGTGTGTGTGTGTGTGTGTGTGTAGGTACCATCACCAGAGACCAGAAGAGATCGTCAGATCTCCTGGAGGTGGAACTATAGGCCGTTGCGAGCAGCCCAGCTTGGCTGGGAATGGAAGAAGAGTCCTCCGCAAGAGGAGGCACCCTTCCCAGCTGAGCATCTCTCCAGCCTCACTCCACCTTAGTATTGAGGACAGGATTTCTCACAGATCCTGGAGGTCATTGATTTGGCTAGACTGACTGACCGATGAACTTCAGGGATCCCCCTCTCTGTCTGCTCCAGTGCTGGGGTTACAAGCTCTCATTGCTGAAGCCCAGCTTGAAAAACCAGACCCATTGATTTGTGCACTTGCTGGAGGTAACCTGTGTGCCACCACGCACATGTGGAGGTCAGAGGGTAATTTTGTGAGACCCGTTCTCTCGTTCTGCCTTTGCCTAGGTTCTGGGATGGAACGCAGGTCCTCATGCTTGGACAGAAAAGGCTTTACCCCCCTAGCCACCCCCCTCATTACTGCATTTCCTCAGCCTTGGCAGCTCTGAGGGGCAAGCCCAGTTGTCACTCTGGGTGTTGATGCAGTAGCGTGTGGCAGGAAACGGAAGTGGAAAAATCGTCAGTCTCTGGGGAGAGAAGGGCACGGGCAGGGCAGGGTGCTCAGGATCTCATGTTGTAACCCAGTGGGTTGACGGAAGGCCGTTAGTGGGAGGCCCTGAAGCGGATGATGCATCCCAGATTACTAACACCCTCTAGAGGGGCTTTCCAAGGCCCCACAATGCCACCTGCTCTGTCTTCATCAGCCATCTAGGGAGTGGGCGGGGTTCCCAGCCCTGGTTGTTGTTTTGCTCTTGCGTACGTATGTGTGTGTCGTGTGTGCATGTGTGTATGTGTTTGCACCAGTGTGTTTGTGTGCACATGTACATGCGTGCATGTGTGCCTGCAGAGGCCAGCGGTTGACAGTGTCTTTCTCAGTCACCCCCCCCCACCCTTCATACTGTGGCAGGATTCCTCACTGTGCTCAGAACTCACTGGCTCAGCACTTTCCTGGGGATCTCCTGTCTTCGCCCCCCAAGTGCTGGGATTACAGATGGGCCACCACCCCCACACAGCATATATGTGGGTGCTGGAGATTTGAACCCAGGTCCTCGTGCTTGCACGTGCACCCGTGGTTCCCACAACCGCAGTTTACAGGAGGAAAATGGAAAGCTTACGAAGGGAGGCGAACAAGGCACTGTCACTGGGCTGCTAATCCTGGCTCCCCCCAGGGGGAACCTGTATCCTTTCTCTCCAAGGGCTGGAAGCAAGAGTTAGAAGCGGGGCCTGGTGGCGCGTGCCTGGAACCCTAGCCGTGGGAAGCTGAAGCAGAAACAGAGAGACAGTCCAGGGCTAGCCTGGGCTACATGGACCAGCATAGTTCAGCCTGGGTTGTTTAATGAAAACCTGTTTCAAGAAAGGTGAGAAGGTGAGAGGGAGAGAGGAGAGAAGGAGAGGGAGGACAGAGAGGAGAGAGAGGAAATGAAGTGAGGGAAAGGGGAGAGGGAAGACAGGGGGGAGGGGAGGAGGGGGGTCTGGAATCACGGTGTGAGGTGATACCAGAGCCTGAGGCAGGCAGACCTCTAGTTCCCCCCCGCTATAGGACAGTTAGAGATGGGGTTCTAGGAAAGGAAAGACAGATGGGAAGGGAAAGCAGCAGCAGGCACAGGGAGTAGCTTCTGGAAGGGAGATTGGCGGGAGGCAGATGACAAAGGAAGGCATGGGAGAAACGTCTCAGAGCTCTAAGATGCCCCCACCCGGATCCTGCCCTGGGTCCAGCTCAGAGTCCCCACCCACCTCTGAAGGCCTGGGTGTCTCCATTTGAGAAGTGGGGTGCTGGCCAGATCTGACTCAGTGCAAAAGCCTGCACCACACCGGTGGCAAGAGAATGGATACTGCTGCATGGCACTTACAGTGTGCCTTGCCTTGCCAGCTAAAACTGAAGCTTAGTTTTATTTAATTCTTAAGTGTACCTCTTTTCTTTTGCTTCATGTTCATTTTTGGTTTTGTTAGTTTTCTTTTTTTTTTTTTTACCCCCTGTGACATAATTCTTGACATGTCAGCTGTATTTGGGGGATTTTGAAAATTTGGTGCACTCTTAATGGCTGACCCATCTCTCCAACCGTTAATTGTTCTTTTATTTGGAAGCCTCACTTGGTGGGACATTCCTCTCTGCTTTGGATTCTTGCTCAGAAGCTCTAGCCTGCTGCTTTAGTGGGCTTCCCCAGTTGGTTTCTGCTGGATGTTTTGGGCGCCTACCTTGATAGTTTGGGTTTTCTCTTTCTCTCCCCTTATTATTTTATGTCTGCTTGCTGTATATAGTCTCATTCA